TTATGCATTAGTGATCCAATAGAGGTACACATACAATAAAAAGAGATGTATAAATATTAAAATATGTACATATATACATATATCTCGAATATTATTAAGTTGTAAACTTTCTACTATTATATTTTCAAATCAAAGCGATCCTTAATTCTGAAATTTGTCTATAATATCTGTATATTAATCTATAATGATTGTTTTCTAAACTTCTATCTTATATGCAAATATGTCAAATTAGAAGAAATTTGTTGAAATTATGAGATTTCTACATGCTTGTACATACAAGTTTATAATTAAATATTTCGGAAACAATATGGCAAAGATATTTGATTATTTCTGTTGTGTACTATTAGTTCGATTAATTTTTGTATTATGTACATATCACAGGCTCATTTTATATTTGGTCATGCGCTCGAACCTCCTTAACAACGTCCAACATGCAGCAACGTTGACGCAAGCGAAAGAGATATTTTTGCGCCGGTTTATTTTCAATTACGGCTATTATTAGGCACTTTGCACCGCTTTTCTGAGGTCATAAATAGATAATCGGGATCACTTTAAACATTTTTCGACGATAATCAGCTGGCGATTAACGCGCGATATGTGTGTCGAGAAGGAATATTAGCGAAGAAAGAGTCACGACGGCCGAGGACGACGTCTTCGGCGATTAATTATTATTCGCAGCGCGGCGCATTCTTTTCGAGCGGTAAATCTGTTATGAACGATGATTAACGAGGCGCAAATCGCGACATGACGTTTGTCTGCAAAAAAGAAAGCACGACGACCTCGGCGACCCAGAGGAGACCGACGTCCTGTTCGATTTGAAATTCATCGCGCGCGATGCATCATTCGACAACGGAGGAATCAATTAAAGTCACGTGGCCTGGAATAACAATCGACGCGGGATACGAAGTACGGTGTTAAATGACGCGATTGCAGGCTTTCACCGGCGGAAAAAAATTCAGAGAAGAACAGCTCGTAAATGTGCAATACCTTTTGTGAGATTGACCGCCGAGCCAAATTTAGAATTACCGTGACGATGCAAAACACACTTTGAAAAAGAAACTTTTCAAAATTTCAGGAAGCATTGTTTACCGATGATCTGTTGTTTCCAAGTTGGGAAGCACGATAAGCAATCTTTTTTTTACTGCGAGACGACATCACAGATATGTACATTCCGTACCTAGTCTATCGTCCTCGTTCAGTAACTCTAATAATAATTGCGGTTCGTCGTGTCGCAGAAAATGGTAAACCTTCCACGTAAAGGTTAATCTTCAAATTCTCTTGTTCACAAGAACGCATTATATTTTTTTCTACACGAAAAAAAATTCAGTTCCTCCGACTAAATAAGGATAATGATATCTCGGTGACGAGAAACGGTGACTTTGTTACCGTTATTGAGAACATTCGTGTGAACATTCAGAGCTGCGTTAAAATTCGGCTGAGACAACCGAGAGCAACTGAATAGAAACTTTCTACATGATCAATGATAATCTTTCTGTTTTTACAACCGAATTGTCATCTGGTACCCGGAGAAAGGAAAATTTAGTTTTCCTCTCTCCAACAGAGTCATTTTTTCCGCGTGTGATGTAAAAATTATAGTCTCGAAGTTTCGGAAGAAAACCCGTTTTCCCCACAGGTTCCTTCGGTTTTTCTCCCGAGTACGAAAAAAATTCGTTTAAAAAAATTCACACGTGTTCGGTTAAAACCTACACATTTGTTTCTTCAACAACAACAAAAAAAAATCCGTGGAAAAATGGGGAAAAGAACAATTTTCTTTCCGAAATTTAACAAGTATAAAAAATATACTTCACTCGAGCAATTACTCGGATGCTCGAGTGTGTTTCCGAGTAATTCAGGTTGCAGGCGATAATGATAAATCGGACCTATAATGATAAGCCGAGTAATCCCTACTCGTGTAACCCCCATTGATCCTCGTCAAGCCAGGTTACGACGAAATAGCTCACCTGTTATCCGCAACGACGAAACGCTAATTACGCGCCGATCACAGCCGCGACAACGCGGATAAAGCGCGCTCGATTCAATTCCAGATCATTAATCGCGAGAATTAGCATTCCCGCGTCTCTCGCCTTTCACTCGTTAACATTCTGCGTATAGACGACCAAGGGAGAGACCGAGAAAGAGAGAAAGAGCGAGATCCGCGATGATACGGCGCCGCTTCGAACTTTCGTTTTTCAAGCGGTCTCGATCGCGGCAGACCGGGGAGACCGCCGACGGTGAAATAGGAAATTAACGACGACGATTAAGGCAGTGTGTAGATAATCGATCTTAATGATCCTAATGTCTCTCGGAGATAACCGAGCATCGGTTCTTAACACCGCGCTTTCCCGGGGATCTACGAGCGCGGGGAATCGATTCCGGATTCCTCGCTGTTCACAAATTCCACGCGATCTCTCGCGAGCAAAAGGAAGAAAAAATGGGGGAAGGAGAAAAAAATTAACTTCGGCGATTCTCGCGTGATTTTAATTGCGAAGAACGCCCACCACGTCGGCGAACACCACGTCAGCGTGATACGATTATAGTGCGAAGTCCGTGCGCGTTTTTCCGCGCGGTTCGCGCTCAACTTGGATCGGCGATAGCGACGAGAGCGTTTTTCGGGGAAAACGAGAGAACGGGGGAGATACCGGCTTCTCTCGAGCCGGCTTAAAATTGGTATAATCGCCGAAGCCGCTATCGGGAACCCGAGGACCTCTTGACCGCCGGTGAATCAAGGTCGCGCGACGACCCTGAAACCGGCCCGCGTTTACCTACCTAACCACCCACTCACCCACCCACCCATCCATCCGGCAGCCACCAACCCCTTCGTCTTACCAACGAAGCGGTGGTTATCATCGTCGGCGCGCGCGATATACTGACCCGCTTGAGTTGATTGCTCGTGATGTTCTGCAGTTCGTTCTTTATCAGACTGAACTTCATCATCGTGTCGCTGGAGAATATGGAGCAGCCGAAGGCAAGTCCGGGGTAATCGGCGCATCTCTTCCGTCTGCGGGCCTCTCGCTCCGCCTGGATTTCGGTGCGCTCGCTGGGGCATCGCAGCTTGGCCAACTCTTCCAATTCGGGATCCTCCTCGACATTGGCCGACTCGTCATCGGAGTTCCCGTCGCCTCGAGCCCTCGCGACCGCGTGCTCAGGCTCGGGCGAGGTGTCCTTCCCCGACGGACTGTCGGAAGGAACGTTTCTCCGAAGAGGGCTGATGCAAGGACTCCTCGTCGCCTCGACGCTCTTGCCGTCGCCGGGAACGTCCGGGCTACACTGCGCGAGCCTCTCTTGGACGCTCCTCTTCTTCCGCTCTTCCCCGTCGTCATGGATCTGCCCGACTACCTGGGCCCTCGAGTCCTCGGAAACGGCGTCGCCGACGATTCTCGGCGCTTCGGTACGCGGCCTCACGATACCCCGGACGGCGCCGAGGACGGGTCGCGGCAAGGGTGCCCGAGCGACCGCCGTCAGGCAGCTGGTCGCGGCTACGGTCACCTTGGCGGGGGAAGACGTCTCCTGGTCGCCGGTGATCCCGGCTACGCTGGTGACGACGGTGCCGTTATCGGTGTAACCAGCAGGGCCACACTGCGCGGGTCCTCTGCTGGAGGCGTCGAGACGTCGGCGCGTGGTGTGCCGCGGGTGATGCTGGTGCCCGCGACGTTTCGTCGTGACCGTGAGCGCCCGTTCCATGTCGTGTCCAGCTGTTGTCAATGCCTCTCTCTCTCTCTCTCCCCCTCGCTCCCGCTTGCTTTATCTCCTTCCCTCCTTTCGCTCGAGAACCTAACCTCCGACGCACGTCAACGCAGTCCCGTGCGCGATACGCACCGCTTTCCTACTAACACTGCACCAGACACTCCGCCATCTTGTCTGTCACTGATCGCAAAGCACGCTTCTCTCCCCGCGCCTAGCACGCGAATGTCGTACACAGTGTACCGGTTCTCTCTCTGGTACCGTCACGCACACGACGCGCACCGTGCGCCTGTGTGTCGGGAGCGAGATACTGGCCTCTCTCCGTGCACACTGCGGCTGCTGTCGGTTCGTCTGTCTCGCTCGCTCGCTCGCTCGAGCGCGCTGGAACGTCACCCCCTCCACGCGGCGATCAAGCAACGTGAGCGGAGGAAGGGAGGAGAAGCCGAAGGTTCCCGAGCGGGCGACGCGGAAGCTACGCGTATCGCTGGTCGACTGCTCACGGAGGCCAAGTGGAGGAGCCAATCGCAAAGGTCGCGCTTGCGCGAGCGAGTGGCGCCATCCGCCGTGATTCGACGTGGTTGGCCGCGCTCGGTCGGTAATCTGGACCGCCATTGAAGCGGCGAGATTCCCGCGCGATGAGGTCAAGAGGTCCCCGGTGCGAGTTCCTGGTATGCGGTTCTTTCGGCTTTTTGGAATATCCAGACACGCGAGTCGGATTCCCCGAGCGTTAAGTATGTCGAGACTCGATTTTCGCAAGACTTTCGAAGAGAAACTAAGGTGGAAACCTTTGGATGTGTGTTCTTCGTTTCCGTTTGTGCGAACGGACATGGAAGGTGAGAATATTTCTCTTTTTCTCTTTCTCTCTCTCTCTCGCGCGCGCGCGCGTTTATTCGTGGATTCGTTCGGGAAGTGTCTCGTTCTACGATTTATCGCGTCGAATCGGTAATGCGACGAGGGCTTCGAAGTCCTGATTGCAAAAAGTTCACTTTCGGAAAGTGGGAGAACGTTCGAATTGCGAGAGGGTTATGCGAGAAGAAATTCGCGGGCTTAATGGCGTCGGATTCGCCGAACGCATTTTGTTCCTCGATTTATCACGCGCTCGTTAAATCAATAGTCCGACCCGAGTTGGCTAAGTCCTGTTTGCGAAAAGTCCACTTCGGAGAGCGAGAACGTTGGAATGCGAATATTTGCGCCTCGCCGTCGAACACTAAGTTCAAACGCTTGCGAGGAATAATGTTTGTTTCTGCCTGCTTGACCACGCTTGGCAACGAATATTTCTCTATTACTATCTGGCAAACGGTAATGCACGTTTCACTTACATTCTGCAGAGCCTTGTCCTTCTCCTCCAATTTCGCGTTCACCTGCATGAGAGCTTCCTGAGTCTGGTCAAGCTCGTTCTCGATGGTCTGGATCTTCTTTTGGAGAGCGCGAGCCTCCTCCTCAGCCTGCGTGAGTCACAATATTTTCATTATATTTTTGCGTTATTAAACATCTCGTCATTTTTTTCACGATATCAAATATAATTTTAAAAATCCGCTTTTTTCAATTTTCGCTTGGAACGAATTCGAAAAAAAGTCCAATTCGAAGAAACCGGATTTTTCCGAGCCTTTGAAACTATAATATTAGATATTTCATTATTTTTTTACATTGCTCTTCTCACGAGTCACGAATCAGAATCTCATTGTCGTAGTTTAGCTCGCAGCGTAGAAATTTCTCTCGACGAAATGTATGACTCCTGAAAATAATGCACGAGCCGCCATTGCGCGGATGGTCTTTCTGTTTAGATACTCGCCTTTTCAGCTCGCGCGTTCGCGTCGCGAGCTTGCTGTTCGCAGAGCAACGCGCGATCCATCGCGTTGTCCTTCTCCAGCTTCATTCCCTGCATCTTCTTCTTGATCGCGTCCATGGTGGCGTCTGTTTCTCCTCACTCGTCCACTAGAAGAAAATCTGCGCCGGCAAACGAGAGAGAGCACGATTACGAGTGAACTTGGGAAATTCGCCGATCGTCGCGAATAATCGCACGCTATTCTCTCGATGCCATTCTAACCTACTGCGAGACGAATCAAGGCAGAAGATGATACGGTATCTTATAACGAGCGATGCCCAACGAACTTGAGACGCGAGAATCGACAGATAACGCGCACTTCTTGACGATAGGACGGGCAATGGTTGCGTTATATTACAAGCGGTAGTACGAACGCAACAATATATGATATATAATTTGTTATTCGACCGATAACAGCCTACAATCTACCGACTTTACGGTGACTCATCGCCAAGAGAACCCGGAGCTCGAGTCTCGATCGGCTCACCGTGGTACAAAGCCGTTCAATTAACGCGCCGAGTGCGTTTTTTCCCTCCGCTCGTTTTTCGTTGCTCCTTCACGCTAACCGAATCCCGGTGCGCGCTCCGATTAGCAATTAATTATGCCCCGCTCTTTTCTTTGCGAGCAGCGATTTTCCTCGCTGCTGGAACGCACTAGCCTCCTCCTCCTCCCCCGCCTTCTTCTTCTTCTCATCCTGTTTCTTTTGCTTGGAACAATATCGACCGACCGACGGATACGCCGCGATCGTTCGCGCGATCGCGTCGGTCCGTTGCATTATCCTTGCGAGCAACTTATTACACGTCGTTTCAAGGACGAGGAGGAAGGAAGCGCACGCACGCGCGGAAGTAAGACGACGTCGTGCCGGGTTCTTGAAAATCCAGGAAATTCCCAAGCTGTTCTCTCTCTCTCTCTCTCTCTCTGCCGGCTCTCTCGCGAGCGCGAATTCGCCATTCGACGGACGGGCGTGCATAGAGGTGTTATAATTAGCGGGCGACCGGATATCCTATTTATAGAGCCGGGCTTCTCGCTGAGGAAGGCCCGGGCCATGAACGTATCGCGCGCGCGCGATATCAAGCGTTCGCGCTTCGCCGGTCTCATGACGTCACGGTGCACAGGTATGCGACGTTCGTGCACGGGGAGCAAAAGTTCTCCGCGACTGCATCCGCGGTTGATACGGCCGTTCCCCGACCGGCCGGGAACGGCGTTCCTACGGCTCTCGCGATCGGAAGGACGAAGACGCCGCGCCAGGGACGCGCGCGCTCCTCCTCCTTGCGGTGAAATCGTTTCGCGAGCAACCGCGACAGCTACTTCGGAAAGCGAATTTTCTCCCGTGGAATATCGCACGCTTCAGATTATCGCGTACTTTTATGCGTGAAAATGCGCGGAATACTGGAATGATTGGCGTCCAGCGAAGGGGAGAGTTCAGTGACCGGAGTATTTATATTCTTTTAGATTTTCCACAGATCCGGAAAAACGTACCGATCCGAAGTAATAATCATTAACTGAGCTGTTATCTCTGCTGAACGCAGGCATTATTGACATATTAGGGGAGCGATCGACACGAATCTGGCGTTGAACGAAGTCTGACGAGTGGAAAATTTCTGTCGCAGGTCTCCCTCTCGCGGAGTCTGCACGCCTGCGCCACTGCGCCGACTGCACGGTGAAGCTGCATCGTCTGCATCGCCGGCCAGCTTCTACCTGAGCGAATATGCGCGCGATTCCGAGCTCGCTGGTAATCAGAGACGCCGGGTAAGCAGGGAACGAAAGCGAAATGGAGCTCGCGGCGGTGCTCGGAGGAGCGGAGACAGAGCTGGTGCTGAAGGATTCTGCGAAGTTGTATGAGGTATGCGATCATTGGTTTCGCAAATATTTCCCAACGCTGGCGAGAGGAAGAAATTCGCGAGACGATCCTCGTCGTCTCGTCGAGTCTGCGGGACAAGAGAGTGAGAGAGAGAGAGAGAGAAAGGATCCTCTTTCGTTTTATCACACCGAGAGGACATGTCGCGAATAAAAGTTCCAAGATAATCGCAATTAATAATAATTAATGAGAACCGCGAGAAAAAAAGTATCGACGTGTTCGCGCGTAACTCAAAAACGGAATCCGGGGGGAGGTTGCTGAAATTTGATTTGTCGACTACGGGTGTTTCTCGCGACCAAAAACGCGTGTATCGCGACCGGCGGTTATTTTTACACGTTCAGTGGGAGAGGGCGGCAAGAATCGTGGCCGCCTGCTGCCTGGCCGAGCCATTTCGGGTTACGCATAGCGGACATCGCTGACTCCTAAACGCACCAACCGAATGACTTAACTCTCGGCGGGTATCCTGTTACGCCTGGAGGAAAAATGATTGCGCGTGTGTCGTGCCGTTTGTTATTTTTCAAACTGTAATCGAGAGTGTTTACTTTCACGGTCTGCGAAACGGCTATAGGCGAGGGGGGAAAAAAAGAGGAAGAGAAACGAGTGTCGTATCGTCTCGGACGCTGTTAGTCTCTCTCTCTCTCTCTCTCTTCAGCCATTTTTCTACGGGGAACAAGCGCGACTTCCTTAGACTTACGTCTCTCTTTCCACGCAATTTGAAGCGATGCAATACTTCTTTTTCTGTCTTTCTTTTTTTCCTTTTTTATAAAACAGAGAACCGGCTCGTTCTTGAGCGGACGAAACGCGCTTAGCTCGACGACTTATAATAGAATGCGCGAAAGAAATTCGCCTTTGCATCATAAAGAAACGAGATAAGAGAGCCTCGGACAATGTTGTCGCGGTGGTTAGGCGCGAACGCGAAAAAAGATCCTTATGAGTCACTGCATTCCGGAAGGTATCGCCCCTCGCTTCACGGCGGCGCCGGCTGCCCGTCATCGTGTCCGTGTGCGAATGTGTCTCTGCGGAATTTTCCCACACATTTTCAGCAATTATCGTACGGGCCCATTCGCAGGAATATCACGCGGATCGCGATAAATCGCGGCGTTTCGGAAATCTAACGACTCTCACGAACTCTGATCGCGCTCATATTAAAATACTCGCGATACTCGATCATTCGTTTTTAAATCAGGCGTACCTTATCGCATTTTTCACTCTATATCGCTCGCTTATATTCGATAATCGCACGCCGGTGATCTCGTTACGGCAAGTTCTAAAATAAGAACGAAGGTGATCCTACACGGATCCCGAACGGACGTTCCAAGCGGCAATTGAGTTGACTTCACTTTTTGTCCACGGACACACGTCACTGATTGTTCCTTGATGAATTAACTCATCCTGCCAGACGACGGCGATCATCTGTCCTCCGTGAGATATCTATAACGAGGTGTAGTCCAGCTGGGCGGCACGGATTCCTCTCGGAAGCAGCGATGCCGCGTTAAAGAGCCCGTCGACGCGAGCGAGCTAAGCTCCCTCGACAAAGGAACATCTCCGCGAATATCTCTTTACAATTCTCTTTTTCACACGTTACTCTTGAGACGTCGAAGTTAAGGAATCAAGCTCGCACGCGCCGTCTGAAGCGAATTCGCGATATATAACGATATTATTTTTCAAATCTATCTTAGAATTAGTCTCAAGCTTTTCGAATTTTAAGCGTTCCTGGCTTAGAGTTGCTGCTCCAGAACTCGTGAGTTACACGGATCCGCCAGGCGGTACTATTTTTATGTCCAAACAATTTTAGAAACTTCGGTCGTTCGACCGAATCACGATCTCTGTGCAATGGTATCGATTTAACGTCTGGTAGGAACGATCTATCGAAGCAACTGCTATAAAGACGACACATTCACACACACTCTCTTTCTTTCCCTCTTTCTCTCTCTTTCTTTCTTATAAATACGAACGCGCGGATACCGGTCCTACTCTTAGAGATGATTCGAGTAACAGCCGCGCATTCCACGACGGAATCGAAGTCGCTCCAGCCGACGTGCACTAAAATCAGATTCCCCCGTCGCCGGAGGAGGGAATCGTTCTCCGCGGGTAAGCGACCGCGCACGATGTCGTTCCGCGGAAATTCTTCCCACGGGAAACAGCGGATACCGCCGTACGCACGTATATACGTACGTGCGTCCATACGGGGTCTCCGGTATCAGCGCGATACTTCCTGACGACAGGGTTTTCTCGGTTGATCTGTCTCTCACGCGAGCACCGGCAGCGTGTTTACTCGAATTCCGCGTGTACGAACGGTATTTACATGAGAGCCGAATCAATCGTTCCGAACGAACGGCTCTTTGCGAGAATTATCACTTATCGTTATTTACACGCGACTGTGCCGCACTCGTTTCTCCACAGCGGTCGCTTCTTCGCGCTCTCTCTCTCTCTCTCTTTCTTCTCGAAACTCGCGGGAACGAAACGAGAACGGCGGATTTTTCCACGGCGACGTCGGCTCTCGCGACACGGACGTGCTCTTCGAGGGCTCGAGTAGCCAGGACGCCACATGGGTAAGTACTCAGGCGCAAGTACTCACGTTCGTAATCGTCGTCCGGGATGCGTCCGACCTGCGGGCCAAGTCACGACTGGGCGACGGAGAGGCGCTCGGGCTTCGCTTCGCGCCGCGGCTCCCACCTTCTCGAGCGGTGCTCCTCGAGATCGTCGAGGACGACGTAAGCCGCCCGCGATCCCTACCACCGTCCCTCCTCCGTTTGACGCGTATACCCCTCCCGCCCGGATCCGTGAAAACGTACACCGGCCGCCGCCCGTGTGGATTATCTTTAGATCGCGAACGACGTGCGTGCGTGCGTGGTCTCGGGGAGTTTCGATGATTTCACGACGAGGGGAGGGAGAGAGATAGAGTGGACTTGGGGATCGTCGCTCTCGGGGGTGTCGTTGTCGCCGAGGAGATCGGCGAAGAAAAGCTCGGCTTGAAGTTAAGCCCCGCGTGGCCCACTTCGGCGGCAACACGCTTCACCGCCGCTGTGGCCAAGCTCGAGCAAAGTCAAAGTCACGAGGAAACCGCGAAACGACGTTACGCTACTTACAAGGAAACACCCGCGACGATCGCTCCTCCTCGATGGTCCCGATGAGCCGCCGATGCGTTGGAAAGTAGCCCGACTGCCGCGTAAACTTCTTTTCTCCTCTTCTCCTCTTTTCTTTTACGGTGCGCGCGAGATGTCCCACAGCCGTCGAGTGTCCTTCCAGCTATATATATTCCGTGACGAATTCGGAACCGACCCGACCTCGGCGGAAAAATTTTAAGTATCCCGTCGCTTATCGCCGAATCGTTAAGTAAATTGATAATATAATAATATACCTCTTATCACGAGAATATATGTGAAGCCCTGAATTAGGTTTCCGTTGCGAAACGAAGCGCGGTTAAGACGTGGAATTGAAGGCGAGGAAAGATCCTCTCATTTATTTGCATACTCGACACATGTGTTTCATCAGCGATAGAGAGCAGGATGGGGGGGGG